AAAGTCAATAAAAGTAATGAGTCTGACAAAGATAAAAGAGAGAAGATTCCAGTCACTACTGTCAGAAATGAAGGGCTGCAGAGACTGGTCACTGGTGAAATAGTGACAATATACTATTAACTTTATGCTCACAAATTTGATAACTTGGAAGAAACGAAACAATTCTAAAAAAAAAATTACAAACTCCCTTTTTGGATCAAGAGATGGCTCCAAGGTTAAGTGCACTGGACAGTTGTCAGGGGACCCTATTCATCATTCTCAGCACTCTCCAGGGACCTGATAACCTCTTCTGGCCTCCATGGGCACACAAGGGTACAAAAACATACATGCAGGCAATGCCCATACACAAAATAAAAATAAAATTTAATTTTAAAATATCCTAAGAACTCCTAATGTTTAACCAAGATAGACAGATAATATGATATTCTTAAAACAATTAAATACATAAAAATTTTAATTTAAAAGTTCCTTAAAAACAAATCTTTGGGCCCTTACCATTTCACTGAAGAATGCTAACAAACATTTAAGAACTAACACCACTTCCAAAGAGGCTTGATGGCATATGCATGCAATCCCAGCAGTTAGAGGGCTAAGGCAGGAGGATCACAAGTTTCAGCCAGATTGATACACACACACACACACACACACACACACACACACACAGAGAGAGAGAGAGAGAGAGAGAGAGAGAGAGAGAGAGAGAGAGAGAGAGACTCTCTAAAATGTAAAATCGAAACCAACCAAACACCAATTTCCTACATTTTCAGAAAATGTAAGAAGGGGTAAATTGCTAATATGCATGGTGGGATTACTATCACCATGATACAAACCAAAATAACACAGCACAAAAGCAAAATCTTAAGACAAATACCTCTTGTGAACTTTGCTATAAAAGTTCAAAACATCAAATCAAGCTGTTTAACACATTAAAATAATTAAAATAAATAAAATTTACAACAGGTATTCAAGGTAATTCAATGGGCAAACTTCAGTCAGTGTAACCCACAATATTATAGGATAAAGGAAATCTGTATACCAATTGACATGGAAAAAACAGAAAATCTATCATGGAAGCAGAGTAAAAACTAAGAATTGGGCAGGAACTGGTGATGTGCACAATGAGTCTTGCAGAAACTCGGGAATTTGGAGCCAGACTGGGCAACATAGTGAAATTCCATTTCTTAAAAAAAAAAAGAGAGAAGTAACAAAAAGGACCAGAAATAGAGAGAAATGTCCTCAATACCATAAGGCACCTAAAACAACAAGTCTGATGGCAGACTAAACACATCACACCTAAAATTAAAATTAAAAAAAAAAACATTGCAAAAATATAATCCCTCACCTTCTTTATTTATTTTCACTGAAAAGTTGAGCTAGGACCATAAAGGGGAAAATAATACATTCTGCAAAGAAAATAACATGTGTGTCCTTATTTACAAATGGCATGACTGTAGCCAGAGAAGAATTCTAAGAATCAATAGCCAAACCCTTAGAATTTATCAGTAAATTAACTAAAGTTGTTAGAATTAAGATTAAAATACACAGCTCAATCGCATGTCTATATCCTATAAACAAAAACATAAAAACCAAAGTTCCACTTGCAATTGCTCCCAAAGATTAAATATTTAAGTGTAAATACGAGAAAACTTTTACATGATCTACATTTTGAAAGTTAAAAACAGCTACTGAAGAAATTAAACATCTGTAATTGAAGACATATTGTGATGGTAAATTTTCTAAAAATATTTCTTGACCCCAAAGCGACTATACTTTTGCAGTACCTTAGCCAAGTTAATAACATGCTCTGAGATATTTAAGTCTATATACTGGGCCTGTTATCCTATTGGAGGCTCAGCCTGTTTAAGTTTAGCCTGAGTTTAAGAGAACAATGTAACCAACTTTACCGTGCCTTAGATGTTCTATGAAATCAGTGTCTACAACCTAAGTTAAATGCATAGCTTTAACCTTAAGTTATATAGTCTTCCATACCCCAACCCAGAACAATGTATATGTGTGTTGTTGTAATCATTGCCAAAATAGCCAAAACATTGAAAACAACCTTAAATAAAATATCCCATAATTACTGGAAACAATTTGTGATATAAGTTGGTAACATATTTTTGCAAGTTGGAGTACTTATTTTGGATTCTACGGAGTCAGTAAAGTAACCCCTTCCATTGGAAACTCTGGTAAAGAGTTCTGTAAAGAACAGCTTGCTCCTTTCCCATATCACATTTTCTGTGCAGTTCAATAAGCACAGAGCAAAACCCTTTCTATGGGTTAGACAAGACACAGGGACAGAAGGTGACAATTCAAATTGGGGGTCATTCTTGGTCAAACTAATCCAAAGGGAGGTTCCTATATTTTCTTTCCTTAATGTGTTATCAATGCAACAAATAAATGTATTAATGGATTAGAAGATACAACACAGCAAAGATTTTTTAGCTCTTCCTCAAAATTGATATACAGTTTAATGAAATACCTCTTAGTATGTAAGTGGAGTTTTTTGTTTTTGTTTTACCAGCAATGGCATGATTGTGTCAAAGTTATTACAGAAAGGAATAGCACTGGTCTTTCTGACAAACAAAAAGCGGGAGTAGTCACTCTACTCAGTATTAAGGTTTTCTATACTGTACATGTATAGTAATAAAGGTTGAGGGACAGGCAGGCAGAGCAAAGCAAGACAGGAACCCAGGAAGAGCATACAAATAAGCTCCTATTGATTTCTCACAGAAACACAAAAAATATTTCTATAAATGGTGCTGATGTAAGTAGACATCAATAAAACCACCAACAACAAAACTCAACTTAGACATACTTATAACACAAAAACCTACTCAAATGTATCAATGACTACAAAGAAAAAAAATGACAAATTCATCTAATTGAGGTTAAAGCTTTTAGACTATGGAAGATCCTGAAGATAATGAGACAAGTCACAGAGGAGAAGAAAGTATTTTACACTACATATCCAACCAAAAGTCAAAAAAAAAAAAAAAGTGCAAACATTCTGATATGATATGGCCAAAAGAATGTACCCACTTCAAGTGAAGATATACACAGGAATACTGTTCACTGTCACTGGCAATTATAGAAAGACAAACTAACTAAGACATCAATAAATGCCAATGAGACTCATAAAATTAAAACTGTACAAATTTGGAAGCTATAATTCAGAACACCTAATTTATTGAATTTTTGGTGGGAATATAAAAGGCAACAACCTTTTTGGAATGTGGTTTCTTATAAAACCAAGCATATTAATTCATAAAGAAATCAAACTTCCATGTGCACATGAAAAGCTCATAGCAATTACATTTCTAACTGTCAAAAACTAGAATTACAATGTTTCCCAACAGATGGACAGTTAATCAATTTAGCACCTCTATACCAAAAGGAATATAATAAAAAGGGGAAAAAAGTACTGAAACACATACAATTTGAATGGCTTCAAAAAATTATACCAACTAAAGATAACTGATATCAAAAAAGGCATAAAATATATGATCCAATTTATATAGTTTTTTTTTTTTATGAGATGCAACTGTAGCAATACAGAACAGATTAACAAGAGTTTGGGATTAAGGAAGTAGGCAGGAAAGAAAGTATCTGTGCTGTTGAGGTGATGGATCACAGGTTAAAAGTGCTTGCTGCTCTTCCCAAACACTGGAGTTGATTCCCAGCACTCATGTTAGGTGGATCACAATCATCTACAGGTCTTGGGAATCTAGCTTCCAAGAATATCTACATACATGTGCACACATGCAAAAATTTTTAAGCGCAAATAAAGTAGTCTACCACTCGCCTACCATGTATAAGGCCCAAGTCAATTCCCAGCACCTCCAAAAGCAAAACAAAAAAATCCTTGTAACAGAACTACTTAGAATTTTGACTGGTGATTTTGGACAAATTTGTAATAAATACATGTAAAACTGGTGATCTCTGTACATAACAGATTAAATCTGTGAATGTAAGTTTTCTAGTTGTAATATTATTGTACTAGTTAATCAAAATATTATAATCACTGGACACTGGGTAAAGGGTGGATAAGTTCTCTCAACATTTATAACAACTGCAATAAAATCTACCGTTATCTCAGAATAAAAAGTTATTCTTTCTTAAGAAATAAAAAGATCATCTTCTACTTTATTTCATTTCTGTGATTCCTAGAGTTATATATTAGAATAAAATAAAATTTATCAAGTCTTATACTAATAATAATTCATCTTCAGTAAGAATGTGATAGTAATGTGATAATAAATATAAAAGTACTTTGGGAAATATAAAGTAGCCTTTAGAGTATTATAGAATAGTGGATGGAGGCACACTGTTCAGATGCACCTTAATAGAGTCATGGTAAGTTCAGAGCAAAAGTACAGCTGAATAGTGTAAGTGAGTCTCCCCTGCAATGCCGCTATAGTTTTAACATGGATGGTTCCCAATCTACGCTACTAGTGGGATGTGGCAGTAATGTTACAAGGTGAGGCCTTGTGAGGTGTTAGGTCATTGGGAGTAAGCATTTGAAGGCAGGTATGTGGATAATACAAAATCTTTTTTTTTTTTTTTTTTTTTTTTTTGTAAGTCTAGTCCCATAAGACTAATGGCAATAATGCCATTGTCTTAGTCAGTGTTCTACTGCTGTTAAGAGAACGATGACTAGAGCAACTCTTAAAAAGGAAAGCATTCAATTGGGGTTTGCTTATAGTTTCTGAGGTTTAGTTCATTATAAGCACAGTAGCAAATAGACAGACATGGTTCTACATCCAGATCTGCAGGCAGCAGGAAGAGAGATACAACCACTGGGCCTGGCCGGAGCTTCTGACACAAGGCCACACCTCCTAGTCCTTCCAACAACTCCCTGGTGACCAAGCATCTGAATCAACGAACCTGTGGGGATGGTTCTTACTGAAGCCACCACAGACCTCAAATGGATTAGCAATGTTCTGCCCTAAAATGAGTTGTTTCACCTATAGATGCATCCCACGTAAGTTTTGTCTCACCTGGCCAGTTCTTTAATTAAGTTAGCAATGCGTCTTTTGTCTTCAAGACATAAATCTTTCAGTGATGCACTCTTCATTCCTCCCTTGCAGAAATTCTAGAATAAAACATCTTCTGGTTATTATTATTTTTTTTGCTAAAAACAATATCCAAGTACTTTCTTTTTGAGAAATTTATGAAATTAAAGATGGAAAGTGAAATTTCTTAGAAATTAATTATCTAGTTGATCACTATCCATATTTTTCACTTAAACCTACTATGAATTCCAAATACGCTAGGGAACAGATAACAAACCAGACAACATCATGGAATATACAGAGAATGCACACACAGACAGAACTAAAAGATAGGCCTGCTAAGTACTAGAGAACATTTACCTTTCCGCTGGTGAATGCTAGGGTAACAATGGAAGAGAGTGGAAATCTCTGACACTGTAGTTCCAAGACTGTTTAAGATACATGAAGGCTGGAGAGGAGACACTAGCTGTTGGGCTTCAAAAAATTGACAATTCTGAAGGGCCAGATCTAAGAAGTGGAATTTATCTCTAGTGTTTATCACATGCCAAAAATATAGTCATTTTTACCACTTACTCTATCTCATTTCCACAGCAGTACAGTCAGGCTGGCATTGTTTGAGTTGGTCACTAAGAGTACACAAATTGCTCAGGGTTATAGCAGCTACATAACAGGATGGGGCGCCAAACTGGGTTCCAGGCTGCACCCTGAAGCACTACGCTACTCTTCTTCTGTAGTACTGTGGGTTCTCTCCAGTATGGTAACGACTTCAGAGGCATAGTAAAAGTCAGGAAAGTCAAGAAGTCACAAGAGAACCCTAGTTAATACAAATCTTGATGTATATATAGTTAGTCATGATGTAGATGCTGGGATTTGAAACAGGGTCCCCTGAAAGAGCAGTCAGTGCTAAAATGCTGACACATCTTTCCAGTTAAGTCTCTCAGTTAAAATGACTGAATAAGTGGTGACATGTTAGTTAGTTAGTTAGCCAGGAGCAAGCCAGCAAATGGCATTCCTCCATGGATTCTGCTTGACATTTCTGCTTAAGTTCCTGTTCTGTCTTCCCTCTTGGACTATGACCTGGAAGTGTGTGCTAAATAAACAATTTTTTCCCCAAGTTACTTTTGGTCGGTGTTTCATCACAGCTACATAATAAAACTGAAAACTGTGCCAGTGGAACAACATGACAGCTGAAAGAAGTATAATTAGCTAGTGGCTTTCATTTATGGCCTTTCTGGGTGCACAGCAGTGCTAATACCAACACAAACACTGCAACTTGCCATTTCTATACCTCACGCCATCAATATAGACATTTTGTTCTGGGGTTCACCACCAAATCCTGTTCACTACCAGACAATCATCAGTAATCGATACCAAAAATGTCTCCAAAATTATACATTAGGAATTGTGAAACTTTTTCTGCAACTAGCCTGACAGTAAATGTTTGGGGGTATTTGTGTGATTCCCAAAGGCTGTCACAGACAATACCTCAAAAAATGAGCATTCCTGGGAAGGGGAAAAAAAAAAAAAAAAAAGGATTTACAAAACAAGCTGCTGTGTAGCTGCTTCCTCCAAAATGAAGCCCTGTTTTTGAGGGATGGAAGATGCCTAAGTCTCAGGATTCCACAGAAACTTCCAAGGTTCAGAAAGGGCAACTCAGAAAGCTATATCACTCCCCAAAATTCTAAAACCAGGACACAGTTTCTGAGGAGAGGGTTGCTGCCTTCAAGTTGAGCTGGGACCTCCAAGGTATAACTTCTCTGAAATGTCACCCATAGTAGGGTAGATCTTGGTGATGTAGCTGCCTTGAAGTCACTCATGTTCATATAAGTAATCCTAGCAAATTCACTGATTCACCAAGCTAGACTGGGATGAAATAATTTAGTCTGTTGTCAGTGTCTTGTCTGGGATGATAGAAGATTGATCAGTTCTCCCCAGAAAAAGTCACACAGCATAAGCAGAAGGAAGATTCTGCCCATGAACCACAGATTACAAACACTAATATCAACTTTGATTGAGGAAAGAAAATTTAACAATAGCAGAATTACAAGAAAGTGAATTTTATTTGAAATATTGTGATTAAACAAACAGAAAAAGACATGTGTCAAAGGAATGTACAGATACCATTATGAAGACAAAGAAAAGGGCAAAACTAACCACTGGCCTATAAAAAACAAGAACTGTCGGCAGGAAAGGCAGGTCAGGGGACAAACAATGTTAGTATTGTAAGAGTTAGGGTCATTGGAGTCACATAAAAACCAGGCAGGCAATGGTGGCCACCTCTTACCCCAGCAGTTGGGAAGCAAAATCAGAGGATCCCCTATGAAAAACAGCTAGCTAGGCTAGCTGGATTTGGCCATCTCTGGGTACAACATGATGCCCTGCCTCAATAAATGAAGTAGAGAAAAACTGAGAAAGAAACTTAATGTCAAGTTCAGGCTCCATACACATCAATACGCACACATAGACAGATATAATACATACAAAATATAAAAAACATATAAAGAAAGAAAAGCAAGAGTTTTGCTGCAATCCCAGTACTTGGGGGATGGGAGAATGCGGGGGGGGGGGGGGGGGCAAGGAAAGCATGAGGTGAAGGCCACACTCAGTTACATAGTAAATTCAAGGCCTACCTGGTATATGTAAGACACTGATTCAAAAAAAAAGACAAAAAACAAAACAAAACTTTGTTTTTCTAGAACAAAAAAAAATTAATAAAACGTGTTTTCTAAGTGAGTCATAATAATGCAATTTTCCTTATATAAGCTTTACTAATATAAAAGTATCAGCCATCAACTAATAAATTTTGAAAAATAAAAACATAAAGGATACTTAACAATAAAAATAGTGAATTTGACGTACTAATGAATGCCAGAAAAAGGAAACATGTAAAATGTAAATCTTTTGAGACACAGTAGATAATACATATTCTTAGCTAAGGCTTAGAACACATCTATACATTTTGAAGCAAAACTCTCAAGAAGTCCAGATATTTTACACTGATACTTAGCACTATCAAGGGCCACAAAAATTTCTGTGTCTTCTACAGATACAAACATAACGTCTTTTAAAGGACTTTGTTTTTATTATATCAATAAAGGACTGTCTTTATTGATCAGTATGTATAAAACCTAACAAGCCAGGGAGACAGCTCAGTCAGTAAAGTGCCTGTTACTCGAGCATGAATGAGGACCTGAGTTCAAATGAGCACATAGTAGCACTTGTCTGTAACTGTACAACTAGAGGAGGTGCAAAGGACAGAGACAGGTGAATCCCTCCTAGACCCTGACCAGGCTGAGCTTGAGTTCAATAAGAGGCCTGTGTTACAAACAAAAGATGCCCCTCTTCCACTGCCCCCCCACCAAAAAAAAAAAAAAAAAAAAACCCAGCAAAGTAGGATGGTAGAAGAGTAGATGATGAGGAAGGTACCTAACTAACTTCTGGCTTCACACATGTACACACACACGTGTGTACCCACAACCACCTCCACCCCCTCCCCTGCAGGAACACACACACACACACAAACAAACAAATAAAAAAAGATCACTGACCTGTTCAGCTACCGAATCTCCTGCACCCTTTAAAGACTCCATGGTGATGGAAGCATCAGCCACCCTGCAAGTCTTAACTTTAACATCAACTTTTGGATTTATCAACTTGAGTCTTGATCTTGTATTTCCTTCTGAGGAGAGTCCTAAGAATGTTCATTTAAAAAGACTTCAATATTTGATCTTAATCTTTTCAGCTTCCCCATACTCCCCATTAACCCTCTCTTGGTATCCTGAACTTTATGGGACCTGATGAGAAATACTTTATTAAATTTTAATTTAAAACCTGTGAGTCTGCTTGTGTGTGTGTGTGTGTGTGTGTGTGTGTGTGTGTGTGTGTGTGTGCATGTGTGCACACGCTGGCATGAGTACAAATACATAAAGGTTATTTTAAAGAAAATTCAATAATTCAGTTAGATGAAATACTATGAACATTTGTAGATCATATTAAAAACAATAAATTACAATACACTGAGATGACATTAAACATCCAAGAATCAGCAGGTTTTCACCCTGAGTACCTTCAATGATTCTGTTTGACTATTCATCCAACTGAACAATTGGTAAACATACAGACTCATTTATTTAACCTGGATCAATTTTTCATATTTTCTTTTGAGGTGTGATATGTAAACTTTCAAAAAGAATCTCTTCTCTTTAATAAATGAAGTACCTTATAAATCATAAATGCTGACTCACTGAGGCAGACTCTAAGAAGAGCCAACATTTCAAATCATAAGAGGATATAGTCAAATATTCAAAAATATTTGCATTTTAATTTGTTTTTTAAAAATTATGTTTAAATTTATGTTAAATGAACTGTTCTATATCCAATTGCACATACAAGACTACCCCAATGTTTAACTTTCTCCTTACAAGAAACAATGGAAGCTTCAAGAACTTTAACATAGATGGCATACCTGGAACATAAACTACTGATTGCTCTTCATCAGAAACTGTGGACCACATGAAGGAAAATACTAAAAAAACATCATGAGATACCCGTGTATATATGTAATAAATTATCATCTCTTCTGATGTGAGAATTTATAACTTAAAAAGAAAACTAGAAAAATGAGCATTTTATAGAAGTTCAACTTTAAATAGTCATAACCTTGTGTTTAGAGAAAATATTAGAAGCCAGGTAGTCCATGAACCTTTCCCTCACACTTGTTCTCAAATAGACTACTTTTGTGATATTATGTTGCTTTCCTTTTGCAAAAAAAAAAGAGTTACACACCATGGAGAAGCTGAAAGTTATTTTAGGCACAAAGAACAATATAATTCCAAGACAGGCATTAGCTTTGAAGCTCAAAAAAATCTCAGATGGCACCCACTGCCTGAGCTACTGGGTGGTTTCTCACAGCCTTCTACAACACATGTGCTATCTATCACAACTTTAAGATTTGGGTTGGTAGGCTAGGTATGTTGGTACAGACCTATAATCCCAGTACTTAGGGGAAGAAGGCAGAAGATTAAGAGATCAAAGCCAGTCTCTACTACATGAAACCCTGTCTCAAAGAAATAAATACCTACAAAAAGATGTTGGCTGATAATACGCACCCATAAGTTTTCAATTTCTTCAAACACTGTGAATGAGTTTTGACCATATTGGAGAACTGGAATTACTGTTCCTTGGAAGCCAATTCTAAATTCATCAATAACCAATCTGAAAATAGCTCTATGAAGTAAAATGGTATGGTCTCCTGAGCCACAGAAACCATTCTTTTACCTTATATCCTCTATGACTAACACAGAGCTTTTTCTACACAGCAGGCACTCAATAAATGTGTGATTTCTGAAATGTACTTGAAAATAAACAAACAAGAAAAATAATCCAAGACAAGGGTACAAAATATGTAATTAAAAGCAGTGCTTTTAATTACAGATAGATGCAGGGTGGCTCCAAGAACGTCCTGGAAAAAAACGTTATATTTTCTAGATCATCCACCAAAAGCCTACTCACAACTGGGAGGGAAAAGCCCCTACTCAGCTTCCTAAGTTCAAACGAATGTTTCTCCCCTTCTCCTCCTCATTCAATCCTGACACACACACTTCTACCAGTCTTACTCTCAGCTGATGATTTGTTTCCTGTTTCCTTAAGAACTCACACTGTAAAGACCTTCCCCATCTTCCCTTCTTGCTACAGAAGTGTTCATGCCCTGAAAGGCAATGGAGTCCTTACACATAAACACACACACACACACACACACACACACACACACACACACACACACAATTTTCTCCTAAGGGTATCGCTGCTATTAAGTGTTCCTATTAGCATTAAAGATGTACTACTACTTTTTTACTCTTTTCAGAAAAGACAAAGAAATTCCTTAACCCTGCATCCCCTCCAACTACTGCCCTTCTTTCCCCTTTTACAGACATCTCATAAGCGACATTCCACTGTCTCTAATTCCTCCTGTGCTAATCAGTCATGAACCTATCCAATCAGGCTTTGATTCTATTAACTCAATAAACTTATCAATTAATTCATAGACTTCTTTGGATTTGCTCTATCAATAGCATTTTATATAAATGACCACTCATTAAAATTTCAGTGTGATATACTACACTCACAAATTTCCTCTACTTTTGTAATAATCCCTGCTCCTCCCCCCTTCAATTTCTCCATTCTTTGTCACTTTGGAGAATCCCAGGGCTCCTGATTTAGAGGGATTTTATACTTTTCTTTATTCTACTGGTGATCTTATTCAATTCTCCTGTCTTAAGTGCTATCAGTGACTTAATTTTGCCAAATATTCTTTACCTCAAGCATATCTGCTAAATTTAACACTACATAAAAGAGATTCATTTTTGAGTTAATCGTGTATCCTGCTAATTTGCTGAATGTGTTTATCAGCTGTAGGAGTTCCCTGGTAGTTTTTTGGGGTCACTTATATAAACTATCATATCATCTGCAAATAGTGACAGTTTGTCTTCTTCCTTTCCAATCTGTATTCTCTTGATCTCCTTTTGTTGTCTTATTGCTCTAGCTAGAACTTCAAGTACAATATTGAAGAGATATGGAGAGAGTGGGCAGCCTTGTCTTGTTCCTGAGTTTAGAGGAATTGCACTGAGTTTCTCTCCATTTAGTTTGTTAAACCATCTGTGCATCCCTGGGATGAAGCCTACTTGGTCATGGTGGATGATTTCTCTGATGTTTTCTAGGATTTGCCAGTATTTTATTGAATATTTTTACATCAATGTTCTTGAGGGGTGTTGGTCTGTAGTTCTCTTTCTTAGTTGTGTCTTTGTGTGGCTTGGGTGCCAAGGTAATTGTAGCCTCCTAAAAAGAGTTTGGTAATGAACCTTCTGATTCTATTGTGTGGAACAATTTGAGCAGTATTGGTAGCTCTTCTTTGAATTCCTGGTAGAATTCTGCACTGAAAAAATCTGTAGTCCTACTATATATGGACAATAAAGTGGCTGAGAAAGAAATCAGAGAAACATAACCTTTTACAATAGCCACAAACATAAAGTATCTTGGGGTAATGCTTACCAAACAAGTGAAAGACCTATATAGCAAGAACTTTGTGTCTTTAAAGAAAGAAATTAAAGAAGGTAACAGAAAATGGAAAGATCTCCCGTGTCCTTGGATGGGTAGGATCAACATAGTAAAAATAGCAATCTCGCCTAAAGCAATCTACAGATTCAATGCAATCCCCATTAAAATCCTAGCACAATTCTTTACTGACCTTGAAAGGATAATACTCAACTTTATATGGAAAAATAAAAGATCCAGGATAGCCAAAACAACCATGTACAATAAAGGAACTTCAGGAGGCATCACCATCCCCGACTTCAAGCTCTATTATAGAGCTATAGTCCTGACAACAGCTTGGTATTGGCACAGAAATAGACAGGTAGACCAATAGAATTGCATCAAAAATCCAGATATTAACCGTCACACCTACCAACACCTGATTTTGGACAAAATAGCTAAAAGTATACAATGGGGAGAGGAAAGCATCTTCAACAAATGGTGCTGGCACAACTGGATGGTGTGTAGAAGACTGTAGAGAGACCCATGTCTATCACCATGCACAAAACTTAATTCCAAATGGATCAAAGACCTCAACATAAATCCAGCCACACTGAACCTCTTAGAAGAGAAAGTGGGAGGTACCCTTGAACAAACTGGTATAGGAGACTGCTTCCTGATAACACTAGCAGCACAGATACTGAGATCAACAATTAATAAATGGGACATCCTTCAACTGACAAGCTTCTGTAAGGCAAAGGACACAGTTGACAAAACCAAACCACAGCCCACAAACTGGGAAAACATCTTCACCTACCCCACATCTGACAGAGGGCTTATCTCCAAAATATAAAAGAACTCAAGAAACTAGTCAACAAAACACCAAATATCCCTATTAAAAAGTGGGGTACAGAGCTGAAAAGATAATTCCTACTAGAGGAATCCAAAATGGCTGAAAGCCATTTAAGAAAGTGCTCAATATCCTTAGCTATCAGGGAAATGCAAATCAAAACAACTCTGAGATACCATCTTACTCCTGTCAGAATGGCTAAAATTAGAAACACCAATGACAGCTTAGGCTGGAGAGGATATAGAGAAAGGGGAACACTCCTCCACTGTTGGTGGGAGTGCAAACTTGTACAGCCATTTTGGAGATCAGTATGGCTGTTCCTCAGGAAAATGGGAATCAGTCTACCACAGGGCCCAACAATTCCATTCTTAGGCATATACCCAAATGATCCACATCCATCAACAATGACATCTGTTCAACTATGTTCATAGCAGCAGTTTTTGTAATAGCAAGAACCTGGAAGCAACCTAGATGTCCCTCAACTGAAAAATGGATAAAGAAGATGTGGCACATTTACACACACTACTCTGTGGAAAAAACAACGGAATCTTGAAATTCTCAGGCAAATGGATAGAACTTGAAGAATCCATCCTGAGTGAAGTAACCCATCATAAAAAGCCTTCAAGGACTGAGAAATCTCTCAATCACATTTATTTAATCATTTATGTGAAGCAGTGAAAATCTTTCATTCACTAATGTGCAAAGAATACAAGATCATAGGTGCATACTATTTGGCTTTTTTCTAGTGGAAATTTTATTCTGGAGTGGTTGGCAAATAGTCATCAATATGACTGAAAGAAATTGAGATCCAAAGGCCAAATGGTTCATAACTATTATATTTTTCAACAAATAGCAACAATGTACATTTAATACAGCTGTATGCCCTATGGAGATTTAGACTGAAATTATCAGAGGCTGGGTGTTAGCTGGTCATTAGATGGAGTAGGTTGAGGAAAAAGGCAATACCAGTAATTTTGCAATTCTTTTTTTATATATGAATTTCTACAGAACCTAATTACCATCACATTTTCCCATACAATTTCAATTCCTCATCATTAGTGGGTAGATCTGAATATTTTACACTATCCAATGCATGAGAAAGTATAAAACATAGGGAATATATTATTACTTCTATTACAAATTGTGAGTGTTAATGACTACATAAATAAGTAAAAGGTTGCTAACAACAAGAGCAAAGGTTTGGGCCACACATTGTTAATTTATTCAGTCCTAATGAAACAGACTGTCATTTCCTCTATTGAATATCAGAAAAATACCATTAGCTGTTATAAGCAAATAACTCTGTTTTCTAAGGAAAAGACTGATCCCAATTTCCCGACTTCCTAATTCAGTACAGTGGTTCTGGTGCATATATTTGCTTTTCAACTCTAATAGGTAAAGGGAAGAAAAGTAAATTGCTTTGAGAATGCACTGGTCTGCTTTCTTCTACAGTACATGAGGTAATTTCATTTGCTCTGCCCCACCTATCAGAGACAAGCAGTAATTCTGTGTAGTAAATGCACAACACTAAACACACAGCAACAGAATGCAGAAGTATTCCTGTCTGCACACAGGAAACTCGAACTTAAGTAACTTAATAAAGGAAACTGGTAATACAATTTTCTAAGTTTCACTGCGAGCTAAGAAGAATAGAATGTCCAGAATGATTCTTCCAAAGGTAACAGTAATGCCTAAAACAATGTCATCACCACATCTAGCAAAGCACCTGGCCTCTTTTCAGGCACTCGGGAACACTGATTTCATTTCCTCTCCAGTAATGCCCCTCTAGCAAGGAAGTACATAACCAAGATAAAAGGTTAGGATGCATGAGCTAACCTAATCCTAGAAATGATCCACTGTGAAATCTCATCAGTTACTGAACCGGGAATTCGAACTACTGCGTGACTAGAAAGCTCCACGGCTTCCCAAGCAAAAACCATCTCCAAATTTCAATTTCCAACAAGGGTGGCTCACAATTTAGTAAGTCAATGTTCTTTCCAGGCACTTCCTCTCGTATGCCCTAACTAGCACCAGCAAAACTCGTCCCAGTGAAACCTATACCTCTAATAAAGCCACACTAGAAGACACAGCATCACTAAAGGACCAAGAGGCAAATGAAATTACCCCTGATTTGCCCCTAGTGACAAGAGAAAAAGACTCCTTGCCCAGCTAGCAAAGTGTGTCCACCCACATTTGCTGTCCCTAGCACCACAAATCTACTTCTCATCCTCAGCCTGCCAGTGATCTCCTGGCAAGGATTGGCAGAGGAGCTTTTCCAGCCTTGCCCGAGTCGTCCCCATTAAAGGCTCCTTTTTGCAGAACCCACGGTCAAAGAGGACGGGTTTTCTCACGATCCAGAATTCCCACCTAGTGACGACTCGTCGCCAGGCGCGGGGGGCAACAAGCTCGAAGTGGAAAGGCCCGTCCCTGGCCCGGGGTCCGCGCCGGGCTTCTCGGGCCCACTGAAAGCCTCGCGCCCCCACCCTCGGCACCCAGGAGGGCGCGGCGCCCCCTAGCAGCGGGGCAAAGGATACAGTCGCGGCTCCAGAACGCAGAGCCCGGCAGGGAGGGGCCCGCCGCACCCGCCATCTTGAAACAACCGCCACTCCAGGCGTCGCGCCGGGGCTGCCACGCCCCGGCCGCCACGCTCAGTCCCCATTGGCCGCTCGGCGCAGAGGCCCGCCCCCGCTTGCGCCTCTGGCCCTGGCGAGGGGAGAGGCTCCCGGCCGAGGCGAGGCGGGGTCGCGGCGATGTGAGCTGAGGCCCAGGCCAGGGTCGCGGGAACGAGCGCCTGGCGGAACTGCTGCTGCCAGAGCCGCCCGGGCCGCCCATCCTCTCCTGGCGGAGCCCTCAGGCACCGAAAACTACAACTCCCGGCATGCCGTGAGCCCGACGGCCGCAGAGCTGAGGCGGGGTCGGGCACGTCAGCCGGCAAGCCGGCTCTCCTCGGCGGCCCCGGTCACTGTGGCCGCCGGGGCGCGCGGTGTGGGGACGCGTGCTATGGAGGAGACGCCGCCCCCACTGCAAGCCGGTGGCAAGCCGCACCTAGAGAAGCTGACCCTGGGCGTCACTCGCATCCTGGGTGAGTGGGGTGGGAAGGACAATGGCTGGGAAGGAAGGGCGAGGGTGGAGGGCTGGGCGCTGGGTGGACTGCGCGGAGCTGGACCAGACTGCAGGGGCATCGCTGTTGCAAATTCGCAGAGGAGGAGGAGGGGGGTAAAGGGGGTCTCTGATCAGGCCCGAAAGTGTGTGCTGAGAGTTCGGGAAGGTCGCCTCCCTCCTGCAAGGAGGAACACAGGGAGGCGCCTGGCAACCTGGGGGACGTGTCTCCCAGGAAGCTGTGTCCCTGAAATGCAAGCCCTGCCAGGGGTCGCACGGTGAACTGAGGTTAAGGGTGCTGCCCGTGTCCCAAGGCAGCCACTGCGCAGAGCTTCAGTGTACAGCACCGAGCCCGCAGCGCTGAAGGAGTTGAGAGCTGTTCTTGTCATTCGACGTTGGTTAACTAACCACCGCAAAGTTAGACGCTGGGGCTACAGCTGTCAAAGAAACGGAGTGTGAAACAAACAGACACCTTAGCTCCCTAGCCGCCCAACACAAATCAGTACTATTTCACTGACTAATCAGAGGTAGCAGAGACCGAGAGGTGCTTGGCTTTCTGAGAAGGTTAAGAAGACTCGTGACCCAGAGAAGATTCTAGATTTTCTAAGGTAAAGGGAGGGGTCAGGGTAAAGCTGCCTAAGCAGGTTGAGAAAGTGTGCTGGAAATGCTTGCTTTCTTCTTACAACTGTGAAGGGATTAAAATTTCTCTATGGTGACCCGCACCATTCTCTGTTGGCATCTTCACTGCTTCGACCATTGTGGACATCTTGCTGTTGAGGCTATGACTTTAAAGACACTAAGCTTGTTCCTACTTATCGCCATTTTCAGTTTGCCTGGCCTGCTTCCCCCTGGAATTGTCTCCCTTTCACCATTCAGTTTTCTGATCAAATGAGTATTATCTCTGATAAGTTTTACCCAGATAATAGTTACAATTACACCTTCCATCTTGCTCTCTTAACTCCCGTCTTCATTGTAGCAGCAGCTATTAGCATAGCACTATGTTCAATTGTATGCTTATTTGGCCATTTTTTATAATAGAAATCTGAGACTTGGCTTGATTTATCCTAGGAATTTGTGATTTGTTTAATATGTAGAAAAACGAATGTAATAGAATGTTAGTAGAATAAAGAATAACACCTATATGGTTGCCAAAAAGGTACTTGACAAAATCCAGCATCCTTTGGGGAAAGGATTATATGTTATAAATATATGAACAAATGGAAACTGGAGCTATGGAAGTTAAGGAAATTCTGTGGAAGTTTTCTAGAGTTCTCTCACTGAAACCAAACAGGGCCTCTAATGCAGAAACTGACAAATTAATGCTAAAGTTAATATTTAAATATAAGAGACCAGGAATAACCAAAGCAGTATTGTAATAGAAGAACAGAGTTACTCTTAGTCATTCTTTTTTTCTTTGAAAATCTACTACATTGGGGATGACTAGTAATGGAGATAGTAATGGTAATGATTATGTACCAATGTGAATAGTTATGCCACTGATCTCTACACTTACATGTGATAAGAAAGATAAATTTCCTATAACATGTAACTGCAATAAGGATTATATACTACAAAAATTGTAGTAAATTTTTTTAAAGAGGTACTGGCATAAAAATAAAAAATACAAATTGATGGTATAGAATTGAATCTCCAAAAATAACTGTGATGTTTAAAGTTCACTGATACATACTTTTTAACTATGGATGTGAAAACCATTCAATAGGGAAAATACATTCCACAAATAATTCTTATAACAACTTGATGTCCTCATTTAAAATCTGGCTCAAGGAAGCAGGAAGAAAGTGTAATTTCCTCCAGAGCTAGAATTACATTTATGAGCTGCCATGTGGGTGTTAGGAGTGAAACATGGGTCCTCTGGAAGAACAGCCAATGTTCTTAACTGCTGGCCCATCACTCCCCCTTAGTTTAGTTTTTAAGTGATTAGAAATAGTGAATAAATTTTTAAATATAATACAGGAAAGAAAGGGATAAATAGTTTATAAAAATTAAAAATGTATACAGGGTTGCAGTGGCGCACACCTTTAATCCTGGCACTCAGGATGAGAGGCAGGCAGTTCTCTGTGAGTTTCAGAATAGTCTTCAAAGCTACACAGAGGAAACCTATCTTGAAAAACTAAATAAAATAAAATAAAATGAATGTGTTTTTGTGGATACCATCAAGTGACAATACAACCTTAAAATAGGATATTTGTTAATCATAATATGAAAAGAGATTATAAAGTTCTATTATAAAGAACTCTAGAAATTCAACAATTAAAGAAAATCTAAATTAAGAGGGTCCTATTTGATTCAGTCCCCTTCAACCCCCTTATCCATCTCTCTTTAACTGGGGCTTACACCCATGCCTGTTTTCTTTATGAACAGAAGGAAGATTACTGTGAAAAGTGGCCAGAAACTTAAAAGAGGTGACCCATATTGGCACTGCAACTACTGTGGGACAAATCTGGGCCATCCTCCATCCTAATTGCATATCAACTACTGAATAACACTCTGCTTGGCCAATTTGGAGAATGCTAGTTGTTTGTCCATCCCAAGTCAGCTTCACCCATTGGACTACTAGTCTCTGTCATCTTTCTCTCATTAACTCCTCTGAGCCAAATACCACTACCACTCCTTACCCCTCCCCCAATGATAGACTGTTTTAACTTGTTGGGGACATATTTTATGAACACACTGAAACCCTCAGACTGTAATAATACTTTGACTCTGAGCACTGCCACCTAGCCCTATGTCCAAATATTCCTAACACCTTCATCCTCTGTGACATTCAGGTTTACTGCTGCTTACCTGATAGGTGGTCTGGGACTTGTGCCATGATGTTCCTTTTTCCAAAATGAGGAGTAATACCTATAGTAAAAAGGAGGCCAAAGAATGAATACCCTGCCCCTGACTTGACCTGAGACCAGGGTTAAGGAAAAACAGCCTGAGCCTGACTTGATCCCAGAACTTGGGCTTGAAATCTCACCAATGTCTGAACTTATCCCAGAGTCAGGCTGCAGGATCCCACCAATCTCTGAGATCCCTGAGCATAAAATCCCACCAATCCCTGAGCTTGCATGAGAATCAGTCTACCAAAAAAAAAAAAAAAAAAAAAAAAAAACACCAGTCCCAAGCTACCCTGGAAAAGCTCTGCCTCCCCCTCCTCCAAAAACCCTATATAAGCTTTGTACTCTGTTTAGTTTGCAGTTGCTTCACATCCTTAGAAGCAGTCACCCTCCTGAATATTTCCTTCCCAATAAAGCTCTTGAGTGAGGTTTGTTGTGTGCTGTGACACTTTCTATGGAACAGAGCTAAGCTGTAACAACTTTAATGAGAGCCAGAGAGGACCAGAGTGTTACACTTCAAGGGACCTGAGCAGAGGTATAACACTTCTCCAGAGACAGAATGGAGCAAAACTGTAACACTTTGGCTGGGGAAACCCTCCTCTCTCCTGCCTGAGCAGAGTTTTTACACTTGCATGTAGAAACCTTTTCCTGGAGCATAGCTGTAAACTGCTATGCTTACAGTGACTTTGTGGTATTCCTTGGCTCCAGACTACCATGATGTCTTTCCATGTAAGTTGCAATGTGTTCAGTCCCTGGTAAACAACCCTTGCCAATTCCCATCATGGGGTTTATATATATAGTGACATGGCATGACAAATGAGTGGTTCAGATACTACCCTTTCTCACAGCCCTGGGTGTAGCTACTGGAACAGCAGGACTGACTGACTACTTTCCTAGCTCTTTACCATCAGTTTTCGTCTAAGTTTATCCAGGATGTACAGTGGGTGTCTCAGACCATCTTTACCCTATTGAGCCAAATAGACTCACTGGCCATCCTAGTGCCACAGCGAGGATTAGATTTACTAACAGCAGAGAGATGCAGTCTTTATCTCTTCCTAGGGGAAGAATGTTGTTTCCATGTCAACTAGTCAGTAAAAGTTAAAATCCAATAACTCCAGACAGATCTCAAAAAAACAAAAAACAAAAAAAAAAGTAAGAAAAAGTTTAATGCCTCTGGCGAGTGGATCATTGACAGTCCAATGTTAGATTGCAGACTACCCTTCTTAACCCCCTTCTCCTTTTCTTAGTCCTTCTAATTGCACTTGGCCTCATAAACTTCTTGTCTAGCTTTCTTCAATGACAGATCCAAAAGGTTTCTAACCACATTTTTAATCAGCTGCTATTACAGAATTACTAGCCCCTAGCTATGAAGACAGAGGCATGCAATTTCTAATTATACCCCGACCATGAAGATCAAGTTCAGCCTCAAGGACTTCTATGGCCCCATTCAGCAGGAAGTAGTCTAATGATAACATGTCCCCATTTCCTAACCCCTACTTGTTTATCAATACACCAAATGGGGTGATGTAAGCCCCTTGAAGCACAGATGAACAAACCTCACTCACCCTTGAGGACCAGCAACTACCAGGTTCCCACCCACAGAACACTCTAATGGCAAGATATTGAGGTAGATTGATTCTCATGTTCCCGAGAAACTTCCCACCAATTTCCATGGTGAGAGTGCAAGTTTTTACTCCCACCACCAACGAGTGGGTGTTCCCCTTACTCTGCATCCTCACCAGCATGAGCTGTCACTTGTTTTATTGATCTTGGCCATTCTGACTGGTGTAAAATGAAATCTTGCACACTTGCTCTCCCACCAGCAATGGAGGAGTGTTCCACTTGCTACTCATCCTTGACAGCATAAACCATCACTTGTGTTACCAA